ATGACTTTGATAGACATTGTGAGACTTTTGTAACAAAATCTAAGCAATATAATGAGATTTCAACTAAGACTTTGTCTTTGTAATTTTATTGAAAAAATCTTCGAAAGTCTTTCAATTTAAAAAGTCTTATAAATTATTTCTATTTTGAATAACGGGTGACTTATTGTCGCTCTTAGAAAGTTTCAATTGAATATACTTAGACTTCGAGAGATTTATAAAAAAACTTTAAAAGTCATGTACTTTTTAGAAGTATAAAAAAAATTCAAATTAATACAACAAAATACAAAATTTTGAAAGTCTTAAAAAGTCCTATTTGAACACGCCCTCCTTTGTTTGGGATATCTTCTTAATGATATTATCGATATGTATCGAAGAGGCTTCTATAAAGTAAAATGTTGATTTTCTAAATTATTTGGACGAATGTTTCATTTTGATAAGAAAAATCACCATTGTAATTGTTTTCTTTTTTTAATTGGCAAAGGTCTTCTATTCATATGTAGAATAACGAAACATGAAATTATTTATTAATTATGTTACGTTATTTTTAAACAAAATCAATCAGTTAAACATAAAAGGATTCAAAATTGGCGTTAGGATGACATGAGATTGAAGATTATTTATAAACAAAATTAATCAATTAATTAATTAAATGATTATTTCACCATATCAACTTGACTTTATTTTACCAAAATTAATGAATTTTGTTACAAAAAATAAGGTAGGCTTTTAGATGAATTGAGAAATCATATTTTTAAAAGTATTACTCAATGCAATTTTTACCAAATATTATTAAGTTGGTTACCAAAATATAAACATACGAAAAGATGGTATGCAACATTTTAAAACTCGATATTTTGTGTAGATATCAAAGTTAAATAAAAAAGAAACCTCAAAAAGTCCGAATAGGTTGGCAAAGTTGTTACAAAAAAGCTAAAAAATTTGAATAGATTGTCAAATTGATATGTCTTGAATTGGCTCGGTTCAAAAAAGTCGTGGTTAGGATGGACTGAGCATCACCGGAACGAATGGCCTGCAATTCTTGGTAACCACTTTGCGGCTCTTTCCTTTTTCTGCTCGATTCATTCGTAAAACGCATGTTAAACGCCTCCCCCATTTCAAGATCCCTGTTTGTTCACTCTGCTTTAGACATAACTTTTGCATATAGTATAGATATGCTGTGATCCAATACTTCAACTTCTTGGTCTTCAAGAACATAAAGCCACATAATAAGGGCAACAGGTGAGGTAAGGACAACCCTATTGTTCTGATCATCGGCCTCAGCTTGACTACCAGCCCAACTAATTAACTTCATCATATTTAGCCCTTGCAAACTGAAAGGCTCTTTCAGCAACCAACACCCACAAAAGGGCCAATTTTCTGGGGTAACGATCATTTGACTGGGCCCATCTCCCAGTGTATGAAGCATAATCAATAAGCAAAATGCATCATGTAATGCTTTATACAAAATGATTCAATCCTCGGGCCTCAATAAGGATGCGACGGGCAAGTAGGGCTCGACTATTACGATCAAAATATCTCAACAAAATTCAAACACCAATCAAACTCAAGAGTCGAGCTAGCCAATATACCTTGTGTCGGAAAAAAAGGAACACAAACACAGGAATAAAAAGGTTGCTCGGTCGCCGGAGTGCGTTTGTCTCAGCTTGGTTGATTGCTGAAAAAGGCTCTCCTCTATGTACGTAGTCGAACATTTTGAGTTCGGTCGACTCTGTGGTGCTGTGATGGTCGCCAGTCGCGGCTCGAGGTCAGATGCTGAGGAGGGTCATCGGAAGTCAGATGTGAGCTCGAACTCGTCGGGATGTCTCGAAACGCCGATGAGTTCCACAGAAGACGCGACTCTGGAACGGAGAGAGGGTTTGGGGCTCGCGACCTAGGGTTGCTCTGGCCGTCGGAATTCGAGGCTCGCCTTTTGTGGTCGGACGACGCGGTTGCCATGTTTGTCTGGTCGAAGGAGAAAATTGCAGAAAAATTCGAGAATTTTCGCGAGTGAAATTAAGGGTGAGATACTGAGGGAGATCTTAGGGCCGGCTGAGGATTTTAAAGGAGAAGGATTGGCTCCAAAAAAATCTCGATGGAATTGCTGAAATTAGGCGAAGAGGAAGAGTGGCCGAGAATTTTGCGGAGGAGATTTCGGAAAAGATGACCATTCTATTCGGTAATTATCTCTTCTTTTTCTTTTCCTTTTTAATCTTATTTTCTTTACTATTTAATTATTTTCTTACTTAATTAGGAGTTAATAAATTAAATTTGGTTAATTAGCTTAATAATTGTTAAAGTTGGTAAAAAAATCACGTTGTTAAAGTTGTTAAAAAAAACAAAAAAAAAAAAATGAACTACCGATTTGATATATATGTAGTAATATATTATAATCTTTAAAAAATAAATTCATATAATGTTGTCCTACCGATTTTATATACTATATTATAATATATTCGAATATCGAATATATTATTAAAGTAGATTTTATTGCTCATGATAAAGTTGTAATTTCTTTTTTTTTTTTTCCCGAAACGATAGAGGTACTATTATAAATCAAAAGCGCACAAATGTGCGAATAAAAAAAAATACAAAGCTCCCAACGGGAGAATAAACTGGGAGGACAGGTCAGAAGCCTGCCTAGAATCCCGCTAGCAACGCTAGAATAAAAACTCAAACTAAACAGACCAACTACTCGACCCCAAAGGGCTAATAACAATACTACAATAAACACAACAAACCACACCAAGACCCCAACAGGGTAATACCGAGTGTCGGACCCCAACAGGGTAATAAATTTGACACCCGGATAGAGTTGTAATTTCAATGTTCAAAGATTTCTGCTTTGATTATATTCAAAAGAAAAAAAAATTATTTGTTTTATAGATAAATATCTATAACAACCCTTAGTATTTTGTAAAGTTTGGATTCTATTAGTAATTAAAATATTCGATTTGTGTTGTATAGACTATTGGTGAAATGATTATTTATTAAACTAATATAAGTTTAGCAATCAAATATTTTGTGAAATGCGGAGTAGATTTTATTGTTGATTACATTCCATAAAACCCTTTAGTATTTATCCGTAGGTAAACTGTTTAAATGCAAATGCTTATCCAATTAATTAAAAAATGAGAAAAAACGTGTGCAAAAGAACAAATTAAGTGAGATAATTTAGGCAAGACAATCTCATCTAATTTTTGTTAACAAAATAAAAATCGAACACGGGATTTGTGGTGTCATTTGTTGAACAAATTGTGAATCATTTTAAATATGAGAGAAATCAACGTCATTAGTTAACAAAATCCGATTTTTTTGGTAAGTCAATGGAACACTAAAAAAGTCGCAGAGAATCAGCTAAAAATTTGTTCCAAAATTCGAATTCATAGTAACAAATCCCACAAAATCCAAATAAAATGTGTAACAAAATTTTGGAATGCAAGGATTGATTGATTATCTTAATTATGTAATTTAAGTTTTTTCTTAAATTTATGTTAATTAATTAACCGGGTGGGACCTGCATAGTTATTGTCTTAAGTAGTATGTATTACTTAAAGAGGTAAGTCAAACCTTTATTTTTTAAAGTCAACTTTATTATTTTTGTATTTTACCAACAACCTTTTTATATTATTATAGATTTTTTAAAGTCAACTTTATTATTTTTGTATTTTACCAACAACCTTTTTATATTATTATAGATATGGCATAACCAAACTCATAATACTATATACACAATTGGTATAATAATAATTTCATTAATTTTTGTGTAATTAATTAATCATAATCTGTCACGCTTGCAAAAATTATATTATTGCGATCGTAGTATATACGTTAAATAGTTTATATTTATATCGTATATTTTTACTAATGATAAACTATAAAATATAATATGTTTAGTATTTAACTTGTGATTTTTTAAATATTACATACATACACATATAATAGATAAAAATTTATTTAGATATGTGCATGTGCACGGAGTTAAATATTACTTCAACTTGATTTTATAATAACTAAAATTACAATAAATTCTTTACTCTCTCTATATTTTTTTTTTCTCAGTTTAATCACAAAATAATTAGTAATTAATAATCAGCTATTTTATTCATTTACATGTTAAAATTTGTACGTAAGTGGGATGATCTGTTGATTGAAATATACTAAAGCAACAGTTGATCACATTCCTATACGTATTCAACTTACCCTAGTAATAGCATGTACACAAGCAACCGTTGATCACATTCCTCTACATATTTAACTTATCAAGCAATAGTATAAACTAACTTATAGCTTGTCTGATTAGCTTATAAGTTTCATGTATTCAAATAAGATTGTTTTGGCAAGAAAAGTCTTTTTTAAAAAACTCGAGTTTATCTCATAAGCTCGTTAAAATTTTTATTGCCGCTAGTTTAACAACCAATTTTACCAAACATTTTTATCATATAAACTAGCTTTTCTGTCATAAGTCGTAAGTTGTCAGCTATAAGTTCAAAATTAACTTAAAAGCTGTAAGTTAGCCTATCTGCTAGATTTACCAAACATAGCCATAGCCTACATATTATTTCGAAACTCGTGTTTTCTCAAATTCAACAACATAGTAAGTATATGAACACATTAATAGAAGCACATGGGAAAACAAGACGATCAATGAGACATCGAAGGAAAAAAAAAAGAACAATTCAATCAGCAAGCTTGAGGAAGGTGCAAATAGAACATCAGAAAAGGAGGTCCAAAACAAACACGAGCATAACCACAAACGCGTTATAGATAGGATAGATTTGTTTTCGAACATGGAAGAACTGTAGACCCAGCAACCTGTGTGAGTTTACCATATGATAGAGAAACACAAACGGCCCATACCTCGCCCACATATGGAAAAAAAACTCTTCCACAAAGCCTTAAACCCATTACTTTTATAGAAATCAGCAGCTCATATGGATAATAATCGAGCTTCACTATAGCTTTGCATGAAGGAGTAGTTATAACTGTCTTTTAAAATGTTGAGAAGTCGTGTGACGACTTTATTAGTTTTCTGCTGCGTTTTATTCTTCTCTTAGTACTTACGACGTCGCTTTGAGTATGTTCAAAGACAACGTCGTTTTCTTCACTGCATGAACACTATAAATGTACTCTGCATGCACATTTTGAAACTAAGATGAAAAATAAAAATTCTCTCGATCTACAATCGCAATTTTACAATTTCTAAGGGTCCGTAACACAGTCATATATTCTTGTACTTGATCACGTTACCTTTACCAGTAGCCTGATTCATCATTCTCGTGTTGACCGCAATGGAGTACAACACTATTACAAATACAAAAAACAAATGGAAACTAATAATGATAACCATAATTACAATAAAGGATCATACTGCAAAAGAAATGACCAAAAACTGAAATAAGAGCAACATATATTCGTTCAAAAGTGCTGAGAGATCAGTGAAAAATGGAATTACAGAATTCTATAGTATATTCATAATTAACAGTACTCCCTCTGTTTTAAATTACTTGTCTTTATAGCTTAAAAGAACAAAATTACGTATTTGAAGATTAGTTATCTTACCATTCTACATCTCTTAAATCTCCTTAAAAATCTCAATCGAATACACCCCTTAGTTTCTTTCTCGAATTTGGAACTACTTATTTTTTTCACTTTTATACACATACAAGATAGTCTATTAACCTTTTGATGACCTGTTATTTAAACTCTCTTCAGAAATAGGATATCCCATTTTGAGCAGGATAAGCTATATACATATTTTTCTTGTCAGAAAGAGTTACACATGCTAATGTGGTAATGTATTGTATCAAAAGCAATCGACAATGAAAATGACGAAAAAAATCATGCTAAAGTTTCCAGCTAACTTCTTTTCGTATACAGCTGTTATCAAACTTTCTTTCTCACAGCAACTTTGAGACCAACCGTTACTAAATTTGGAGCTTTAGCCATTATCAAATTTGATCAATAAAACAGGGGCATAGTGGACCTTAATCGAATAAAGTGAAGTTGTAATGAACTGTTCATAAGATAGATGATATAGATTTTTTTTCAAAAATCGAACCCTTCCGAAAAAACACTATACCAACATCACTTCACTATGCATTTCACTTCAGTACTTGGTAATAACACAATTCACTGCCTTCTAATCATTAACCAAAATCCTCCAGAGTTACCCTTGAATACATAACAATTGTTTATTATCTTAGTGCCAACTAAAGTAACACTACCTTATAATGCCTTTGTTGGTGACAGCTAAAGAAGCAAGATATAGGCTATGTTTGGTAACTAAATAAGCTAACTTATAGTTTATTTGGTTAGCTTATAATCTTTCTGTATCCAAATAAGACTTGTTTGGTAGGACGAGCCTTTTTAAAAAGCTCGAGTTATCTCATAGGTAGCTCTTCAACTAAGCTCATTGAAAATTTCAGCTAGCTTATCAACTAATTCTACCAAACACTTTTATCATATAAGCTAGCTATCTTTTCAGCTGTAAGGCCTAAGCTATAAGATATAAGCTCGAAAATCATAAGTTATAAGCTAGTATATCAGTGAAAAATGGTAAGTACTATCCAATTTACTAGACATATGTATTCCTCTCAATTGAAGTACCATCCAATGGTTTCAGCTCAAAACTGCATCATCAAAAGTTCTCTCTTTTGCTATAAGTTCATATTTTAAAGAAAACATCTGTAATCTTTAAATTAATATGACAATATAAAAAAAAAAAAAATAATAAATAAATAAATAAATAAATCAGAAAGTGTAATATCACTCTCGAATCAAATAATCAGGAAAAAAATATCAATAAAACGGTGCAAAGAAACATGAATGAACACCGTAATTGAGCTGTAAAAAAAGCTAATTCGACTGAGTGAGTAATGATTCTGTACGGTATCTGAGCAATTACACCAGAAAAACCTACCGACTGCTTTGCTGTGGAACAGAAGCGAATAGCCGGACGATTGCGTAGTACGGCGGCGCAAATGCTCGTGTAGCGAAACAATTTGAGTCGGAGTGAAGAACATGCGCCGGAGAATTGCAGGGGACGAGGCTTTATCCAACCCCAAAACGCCATCGTTTTGCGCGACTTTGAAGGCCGCATCAATTCGCCGTGAAGCCGGAGGCGAGTTTTCAGAAGGTCAACGGGGAAGGTCTCCGTCTCCGCCGCACTGGCCGCCAGGGACGTCGGAGTGATTTTCTAGACACCACTCGGTCGCCGGCGTTCGCATTTCGATACAGTAGCCAAGTACAATACTGCTGTGTGGTGGGAATTATGTGAGTTGTTTGCTGCTAGACAAATATTTGAAATACAAGAATTTTAAATGGGCTCAATATATAACTCCATATAGTCTCGTAAAATATGTTGGGCCCGGATAATGTGTTATTGGGGTTCGATTTCAGCCCAACTTGTCTAACACTCGTAAATGGGTTGCAACTTGCATCATAAGAATTCCGTCAGCCCATTACTAAATTTTTAGTTGACACACACCCATTGTCTAGTCGATGGAAAAAGTGAAACATAAGTATATTTAGTGAAATAATTTAGAAACTCTGACTGAAAATAAAATATACGGCTAAAATTGATATAATTAAAAATAAACAAATATTTATTGGAAGAATATATATATATAAATAATATTTATTGGCAGCATATTGGTGTAATATAAAAAATATTGGTGTCACGGAGGTCACCTCATATTGTATGTGTAGTCTCAATAAATGTTTTAAAATATATTAGTGAAAGTTTTATGTTAACATGTTATTAAAAAAAAAAAATCCTAATATCTCATTTGTATTTGGTAGCTATATATAGGAAGACTCGTAGAAGAAAATTTACATATTCTTAAAAAAAAAATCGATTCAATTAAGATTTTGTAAGACTTTCAAAATTCCGGTGTGTATTCTATTGAAACTTTCTGAGAATTATAAAAAGTCTGCATGCATTCAACTGAAACTTTTTAAGACTTTTTATAAATCTCTCAAAGTCTCGGTGTATTCAATTGAAAAACTTTTTAAACCGAAAAACTTCTGGAGACTATTTTAATAAAATTGGAAAACAAAATCTCAATAAAAATCTCATCAAATTTGTGAGATCAGCCAAAATCATTAAAAATTTCACAAGATAGCACCAAAGTCACTCACTTTAAAAAGTCTTAAAAGACTATAACAATCAAGGTAGCATAAGTTGAAATTTGAAAGATAGTGATAGAATAAAAACTTTAATTCTGATAAAAAAAAAAATTAAAAAAAAATAAAAAAAAATAAAAAAAAATGTAATGCAAAATATAATTATTTAGTCACCGGACAATAATAATGACATCCACATTGCAAAACTAATCTACAATACTCTAAACCTTTTATATTGTCCCAAATTTGCCAAAACAACACTATAATTCCATAGTTATATCTCTCTTCCTATAGCTATTTTCAACACATCATAAAACCCTAAATCCTTAGAAACCAACCCACACTCCCAAACTACCCTCACAAGTCCCAAAACCCGGGCAACTCCATAGGCGAGCTCACCAAGTTAAGTATGTCATTCCAATAGTTCCTTACATCCTCAAACTCCCCAACACCTTCCCGACCACGATCGGGTGCGACAAGGTCCAATGCACCCACCGCATCACAATCCACGTTATTGTACACAAGATTCGCATAGTCTAGACCCGACAAATTGTCCATTTTGCCCTCCAGCTCAATGTTGCCGCACGTCGGTTTTTCCATCCCAAGCGTAGGGGCTAAAGGAGCCGTAACATTATTGTTATTGGAGAAGTTGAGAGTAGAGGTTGGAGAGTCGAGCTTCCCAGAAGTTGCCTGCCAGACCTTCAGCACGTCCAGGCACGGTGGCATTGCCGCCACGTGCCTGGGCGGCAGCGGCCGGATGGGAAAACGGCGGAGTTGGTGGGGGCGAGAGGCGCGGGCCTCGGCCTCTAGGCGAGCGGCTTCCCATTGGGCCATGTGGCTGAGGATGGTTGAGTGTTGGGATTGGGCCGAGTTGGTGTTCTTGGGCTTGTGGGTGGTCGGGTCGATCCCCATTCGGGCCAGACGTTTCTTGAGGCGGGTGTTCCAGTAGTTTTTTATCTCGTTGTCGGTTCTTTTGGGTAGCTGGGCTGCTATTGCTGACCACCTGATATCAACACCACGCAGTATATTACTAGCAAATACTATATAGTTTAAGGGTGATAATTGCGTCGTTTCACATATTTCTGGAGTTTTCGAGACCGTTTCTTGGATCCCAGATTCTTAGAAACGATTATTTGTAGTAAGGGTGATCACTGTGTGATTCACATGGCAAAAAAAAGTGACTATATTTCATCTTTTGCATTTGTTACTTGACTATAAAAGCAACACAATTTTCAAGTGTCACGATCATAATAAGTGTAGATACTCGAACAAAATACGACAAAGCGAGAACCTAATTATAGCTAGTGTAATAAAAGAAAGTAGTACGTTTTATGCGAATATGAATTCATAATAACAACGACAAATCTCAGACGAACAAAGAATTAGAAAAAATAGATTTAAATTGAAATAATATATTGATAATTACTTGTTGCCGAGAAGCGCATGGAGTCGAATAATGGTCTGCTCTTCATGAGAGCTCATCTTTCCTCTCTTAATATCGGGTCGCAGATAATTTGTCCACCTCAGTCTGCAGCTTTTTCCACACCTCTCTAACCCTACATGAAATTCAAGAGTAATTAAATAAACCATATACACGAATGCATGCGACCTTGGCGCATTCGTGTCCTAATGGTTGTCAGAGACTAATTGATCCTCCACTAAAAGTTAAACCGTGGCTACTACACGATGTCGTAGGCGTCGCCCATACAAGTAAAAATTAAATAAAATAAAAGACCTGCTTTATCTGGGAGAGAGCGCCAGTTGCCATGGCCGTGTTGTTTAATGTAAGCCAACAGCTTCTGATCTTCATCTCGAGTCCATGGCCCCTTTTTCAACTCTTTCTCTGCATGGCAGTTAGGTTTTCCCATATTAGGGTTTTTTTTTCTTTTTTATTTATTTATTTATTTATTTATTTATTTTTTTTGGCCCAAAGTGAGTACACACACTAGAAGGTGTGAAGAGTTAAGTTTGATGAGCTTTTGGGGGAAAGTACTTTGGTTTGGGAGTATATATACATTAAGGGAAATAATAAATGAGGTACAAAACTTACTATAAATATTTCACCTAAAGAGATTTATGAGGTAAACCACCTGCAAGCATAGGAAATTATATAATATATATATCAATAGAGATGTTAAACGGTCTTTGGCCCGACGGGTCGGCCCGTTTAGCCCGAAAAAAATAGGGTTAGGACATATAATATGTGTGAATTTTGATATTGAAATTCGAGATAATGGACATATTATATTTTCGAAATTTGATCATTAGTGAAAAATTAATATGAATATAAGTTATTTAAGTATATATGAATCACTATATTGATTGGAAAAAAGTTTGTGGGTATGTAATTTTTATAATTCGGAGGGTTCATGGTCAAATAGTTTTGTTGAAATATTATTATTATTATTATTATAGAATTGCGGCAACCGAAAAATGGATATTTTGCCAACAATTATATATACTAGTTTTACCCTGTGCATTTGCACGCAAAGCAATATAATGGAAGAGAATAATAATTAAATATAGAAGAAGATAAAGACATTACAGAAATGGGCAACATCCAAAATAAATAGGATTAATTTGTCAAAATGAAATGTACGTGTAACTGAAAGTTAAATTGTTGTAAGAAACGAGAGAATACGGGTGCAGTTCCCAAAATCAATTGGTGGTAGGAGGAGTATCCCACTTTATATTCTAATAGGCCCTCTCACTTGTGAATCCTTCATACGAAGCACAAGCCCATATATGGAGTCGGGTAACAGGTACGTCATGGCCAAGACCCACGCCAGATCTGTTCATACCATGTAAGAAACGGGAAAAAACGGGTGTGGTCTCATGCACGTGAAGCGCACCATAACAGAAAAGCTCAGATGAACCCCAGTGAAGTTTCATCCCAAAATCAATTGGTGGTAGGAGTAGTAGCCCACTAAGCTTAATGTTAGGCATATTTTCCTTATATAAACGATATGAGACAATTACAAGTGATATTATATTCTAATAATAAATAAATGAGGAACATAATTTTATTAATGAAAACCAATTTTTATTAAATGAACTCGTAATATTATTATTTCCTGTCTGAACAAAATTTATTGAATCTTGTATATATAGATAGATAGATATTTATATGTCCGAATCCCTCATTATTTGGTTCGCAGTTTCATTGTGTAAATAAGCGTGTGATGAAAAATAGCAAGAAAAACTAATAAAGAATATCAATACTGAAGCGTCACACAAGCATCACATAATATTGTCGGGATATTAATGGGGCCGTGGTGACGTCAGAATTCAGACAGTTTTGGATTATGAGTATGTAAATATTTAGTAAATGTCTGCATCGGGTAATTAAAACTTGGATCGTGCTGGTTTTTTGCATTTGCAACGGTGTATTTTGTAGATACGTTCCGGCCTCTTAAGGGCCGGTTTGTTGAACCGAGACCCGTAGGGTTGCGGTTTTTTTATTTTGGTCCGACCGATCTAGACCGAGTCAGACGGCGGGCCACCTTGTTAAAAAAATTTTAGGGTCGTACCGGCCCGTGAACTGCCGGGTCGGTGAACCGACGGTTCGCGCCGGTACTGTCAACCGACCCTTGGTTTTTAGGAGGGCAGGTCGCGGGCTATGTGTTGGAGGGCCCGTGGCCCGCCGGGCCGGGCCGAGAATCGGCACCTGGCCGCGTCTAGTATTTTGGAATAATAGATGGTTTCTATTCTATGGTTGGAATTTGGGAGAAAGGAATGAGTCATATTAAGATTGAAAATATATTTGTAGTTTATAATAGGAAAAAAATTATAGAATATGACTAATAATGTAAATTAAATAATAATTTATTCAATAAATTTTTAATTTTTCCAAAATATATCCATTAACTAATTAAATCGTGAACAAAATTCTGTCTAAAACACGAAAATTAGTTGCTGTTGTTCTTTTTTTTTTTTTTTTTGCGTCATTTTTAGTTAGTCACTAAATATTGTTCACTAATTTTGTACTATTATTTTTTTAGTACACATTTTACTTAATTTATATTAGTTAGTTGGTATTTAATTTTAACATCACAAGAAATTGCTCGACAAATTTATTATTTGCTTTAAATTATGAGGTATATTTTATGTTTCTGCCTATATGTATTGACTGGTTCAATATTGCTAGACCGACTATGAGTAATTTGAGGTATAGGCATGATGCAATTTTGGAGTTATGATGGCTTTGCCATATCAGGTATATTATTTAAAGCTACTATCTTTTTTGGAAAGTGTATAGTAATCGTAGAAATTCGTCCGGGTAATTTTCTACCATTAATTTTAGTGATGGCATTCGAGAGGGAGTCAATACTTCAATTAATTGATTTAGCAATAAATTATAAATTGAGACCTTAGGAATTTTGAAATTAACTTTAATTTAAAATATCTTCCCAAACTTAGTATAATTTAAATGACGGTTTTTAAATATTTATGCAATTCTAAATTAATCTCATTCAAAAGCAATAATTAATTAACATGGATAAATGGATAATGAACATAATAAATTTAAATAAATAAATCAACTATTATGACAATTAAATATTGAGTCTTTTTAAACAAAGAAACTAATCAGATTATTTCGTGTTTTAAACAAGGAAATTGCAAGGTCTCTTCACTATCTCAAGAAGGTATGTTTTGCACTTGTTGAAAAATGGAGTACTTGACAATTATTCTTATTGTCTCATTAGCTCAAGAATAGAGGAAAAGTAGGCTACAATTTTGTGAAGAAAGTCGGGTATGATGTAGCACTCAAAATAGCTCGGCGAACAAACTTAGTAGCCTAATGGGGAAAGCCTACCAAAGGAAGCATAGATACAACAACACAACCATACAAACAAACTGAAAACTCTTAAGCATGCTTGGATACAAAATTCCTCGAAAAAATCCAAACATTTTTAACTCAACCACTTTTTCAACTCAACTTTAACTCAACCTCCACTATCATCAATATTATCAATATAATTAAATAATATCAATCAATCATTCTTATACACCACATCACCTTAATTTATTATTCATTCACTCACATAATTTTAGTTAATCATCACTCCAAATATTCTCTCTCATACTTTACATCAAATCAACTTTAATTATTTTATTTTAAATATTATTTTAATATACTCACTAAGAACTAATCATACAATTTTTTTCGAAACAAACAAAAAAATATAAACAAAACCAAATTTTTTTATGTCCAATCATCCTCACTTTTTTAGTTAATTATTATTATTATTATTATTATTATTATTATTATTATTATTATTGTTATTATTATTATTATTATTACTACGGTCTAGCGCAGATGGCTCCGGTCCAGAGCAGTCCTTGGTTCAAGGATGTGGCCTCCTCTTCCGACTTCTGGCCAGAGTTGGAGTTTGCGGGTACCTGCAAAGGGACGCCAGAGGTTTTCCGGCGTCAAAACCCTCTGAAGCTTAAGTTAGTGTCGGGAGATGGAATGAGAAGATGAATCGTAACAATATTATGATTGTTGAATAATAAATGTGACTTACTTACCGCAGTTAACGTTTCAATATATATATATATATATATATAGGCATTTGTCTCATGTACGGGTATCATAAAATATTACATCGATTTAATGGTGGCCGAGCCTAAGAGATCGAAGACCAAGCCTAAAAGCTCGATCGCGCAGATGGCCTCGGTGACTCGGCCCATCTTACGGGCTTCGTTCCGTCTCGGTCGGTGTTGAGTTTGTGGTACTCTATGCTTTAATCATGTTCCCTATCAATTATTATTATTATTATTATTATTATTATTATTATTATTATTATTATTATTATTATTATTATTATTATTAAGATAAGTGATTTTTTTTTTTTTTAAAAAAAAAAATGGTATATTTGTAGCTATATGTCCATTGCATATGGAGCTGGAAGAGTCATTGTTGACAATTCTCCTGGCATAGTGCTAATAATGGACTAGATCAAAATGACTCAATTAAATTCTAGTGCTTCTTCTATTAGTGAAGTATCTAGAAAAAAAAATATATCAAACGACGCAACGCACCTTGGGTCCTTATGGAAACAGCCTCCTTGTATAATTACAAGGGTAAGGTCTGCGTACAACTGACCCCCCAGACCCCAACCTGTTGGGAATATACTGGGTATGTTGATGTTGATGTGATGATGGTATATTTGTAGCTAAATTATTTGATGCTAAATATAGAAAGTTCAAAATTATTCGTTTGAACATTCATGTATATATTTAACGGGGAACATATTGTGTTGAGTGAAAATAATTTGAATCATGACAATTTGGGAAAATGTTGGTTTACAAAATTAATGAAGGAATTTCTCTTGTACAAGGCAGAAAACGAGCCTATGCATCAGTTCATATATCATGTTGGTTTTCTTGTATAGTACTCTATTTATCATCTAACAACACTCAACAAGACCAACAAAAATTCATATATCAACAACAGTTTAAAACCAAATTGAGGACTATACATAATTTTCAGACGTAAACTTAAAGTTCATTGAAAATTACAGGAGAGGATCATTATAGCCATTTATTATTTTTACACAGTTCTTGGTAATCACCATTGCTTCGATAAGATAAATCCCGACCAAGGGATCAACAGAATCAAGATTATGACAGCCCCAAACGAGCCGATCAAGGACACCGTTATGCGCTCACAAAAATTTCGGTACTGTCGGCAAATGGCGAGCCAATTTGCCGATGCATTTCCTTTGTGTGCTAAATACACTACAGCTGCCGCTGACGAGGAACCTGCAGTGAGCACAGCTAACATTATCTGCAAAATATTATTTACATGGATTACGAATCTGTGGTAACTATACTAAGTTAATTTTTCGTAAGTGGAGAGGATATATGTTTTACTACCGTGTCGAAGAAAATCAGCAAGGCCCTGCTCTTCATTGCCTTTGTCCTGATAACATGATAAATCGACACTGGTAGAGAAATAGCAAGGCCTCCGCACACTATTGCGCTCGCGATCACGAAAAACCTTCACTCACAAAACATTAATAATATTGGAAAAATTTAATGAAATGAAGTAATTTATGTAATGACATTATAACATCTATACTATTTTTGTTTTTTCGATTGCGGACCTAAAGGTCGGTATGTCATCGTATTGAGCCTGGTAAATCACTGCCTGAGTCGAAAACGGAAGAGTCTGGTAGGTGGTTCCCATTGCGATTGTACTTCCTAACGTCCCGAAAATCGCGAAGATCCTTAAAACGAGGTCTACGATAGAAGTACCTCTCCTCATCTCCCCTGAGTCTTTGTTAGTTACTTGACTAGGCCCTTCTTCTGGTTTCATTTTGTTGTGCCCAAATTATGATCTTCAACTGTATATGGATATGAATTTAAAGTGCATTTTGGGGACTCTGAACAAATTAGCATACAAAAGCATGTTTTGGGATCTTTTTATATAAAATTGACAAATGGGAGAAGCTTTTTTTTTTTAATTAATGTGATGTTAGGTTTAGCAGGCTTGTAATTATGCACTTTTGCTTCCCTCATTTTTGAGATTTGTTTATGCTTCAGGAAGCTTATAGCCAGATCATGCTAATTTGGCCACTAAAAGTTAAAACTCTACCTGCTCCATTTTCTCCTTCAATCTGTCATATAAGTTTGTCACAAAGTTAAAACTCTAGCCAAAGTGTGCCAATTTGGAAAACCTTTTTTTTTTTTATCGGAATTTTTGGTTTAGTATGGTTAATTTTGAAAAAAAAAAAAAGTGGTGTGATTAGTTGTTAGTGGAATTTTTAGTTTATAATTGAATAATATTTAATATAAAATAATTAAAATTGATTTGATATGAAAATAAGAAAGATAAGATGTGATGTGAAGTGATGGTTAGTCAAAATGATGTGAGGTAATGAATAGGTAATTAAAGTTGGTGTAATATGTAAGAATGATTGATTGATATTATGTAATTATATTAATAATATTGATGATAACGTGATTGACTTAAATTGAGTTAGATTTGAGTTAAAATAAATGATTGGTTAAAAATGATTGGATATTTTTAGATAAATTTGTATCCAAGCATCACTTATAACTCTAATCCCCAAATGCTTGAATTCATAATCCCTTAGAAATGTGTGAGTTTTTAAATTATATCTAAAATTTTGACTAATATATAGCGATATAGTACATAAGATAGCTCGATTGAGATAGTCACGACCAACTCAGTTCGTATGTCGAAGACTAGCTAGGTTGATTGGTTCAGGAATATGAGGGCCTAGGTAGCTCGGGTACTTAAGGCACGTCTATAGCTCGGACATTAAAGAGCTCGGACAACTTAGGTATATCTATAACTCGGACATTAAGAAGTTCGAAAAATTTAGGAATGACTATAACTTGAACATTAAGGAGCTCGGTCAATTTAGGAATGACTATAGCGCGGATATTGTGGAGCTCGGGTAAATAAGGCTTGTCAGCAACTCGGTCATATAAGAGCTCGGGCGTGATAACATGGTAATTAGCTCGATTAGAAAATGGATCAACGAACATGATAGGTCAAGTCCACGTTGTTAACAAAGGACACGTATAGGGTCATAAACAAAAGAGATACATGATCTGATGTACGAAGATAGAACCAAATAACTTATGGACAGACCTACGGGTAGCCTAATAACCGACGGGTAGCCCTTTTTTGCAGTCGGGGCAATCAAACGTGCCTTTAGGCAGAATGGAGGTTTGTTCAGGTAGCCAATAATCTTCTATAAATATGTACAATTTGGAGAAGGTAAATTCACACTTTATACATTATAAGCTTTCAATATTTCGGTATTTCCATACTACTTTTCATATCACCTACTTGCTTGATCGTCAAAAGTTCAACACCGAAAACATCTCCTGGCATCTTTGCATGTCTCTGAGAAGAAAATCGGTCGAGGAATTGTGGAGAGCTGGTTCGAGGTGCAACTGCACATCAAATAGGCTGAAGAACTGTCTGCATTCTTGTGTAAGTGAAAATCAAGTCGTCTACATTCCTGGAAGGCAACTTCGTGATAATGTTATTGTAATCCAAGGAGTTGTTCACTTCTTGAATAGGCATAGGTCTGGGAGGTTGGGGTACATAGCTGTTAAGTTAGATATGGAAAAAGCTTATAACATGATCGAATGACATTGTGTCAAATAGGTCTTGCTGAGAATGGGTTTCAACGATATTTTTGCCAAATTGTTTGTATCTTTTTTGTTTAAGCTGTTGTTTTCATGGATCCTTGTGGTTTTATTATTTTTATTTTTATTATTAATTTCTTTTAATTGTCTTTTGAATCTTTAGGTTATGAAAATACCATAAATCCCTTATATATCCAGGAAAAGACCGAGGCTCTTCACAGATAACGCCAATTGTTATGTCACTTTAAATTATAGACGATTTTGCATGCCTATGCCTTCGAACAATCCTCGTCCTTGAGCTCCAACGACCTGCTATACCTCGGGAGGGGGTTTCGCCGAAAACTCTCTGACGCATAAGTCTAAACTCTCTCAAACTGTACAGATAATAGAATGTATGTAAAAGCATAGAATGTAGTTATGGATGAAATAACACATGTCGCTCTTATATAGTGCTGATTCCTTGGGGCCGAAGAGAGTTCTTGTTAGGGAATAGATCCAACCAGATCTTACTTTCATAACTTACCACGTCTCTATCTTGGTAAGAGTCCTTGAGCGAGCGATTCTTTCATTACTACTAGGATTCTTCACCCCTTTACTGTTTTAGCTCGTTGGTCCTTAGGTCGTGACTCTAACCTCTTGACCAGTCTGCCCTGGCCTCTACGAGAGCAAACCTGACCTTATCTCGAGATCTAGTCCGATCTCATTCTTAGTTCTAACATGTCCTCAAACCACCCGACCTCGATACCTCGAGGTCGGTTACTTTGCCGCTCCTGGAGGTTGGCACTTCCAGGACATGTATTTTCTGGTAGCTCGACACCTTAAGCTCATATACGAGTTACTTAACTGAGCATCTTACCTCTATAGACACTGGAGCTCTAGCAACCTGGCCTTAACCGAGCTACTTGCTCAGACCGGTCTACCAAGCTATTTTTGAGTGTTATATCACTACTCACATTAATTTGTCCGCACGATCTAGTATGGGTGCTATATGACGATTTATATACAACGGGAAATTATAGTAGTATAATCTCTCCCTATATATTAATTCAAAATATGTTGAGCTTAAGTGGTAGTTTCTCACAATTCGGATGCTGACATGTCGAAAATCTATACTTTGTAATATTGTATATATATTCATTTTTGCTATGAAGTTAGACTTGATATTAGACGACATAAATTACTTTTTTCAAACTCGGTAAGTGTATATTTAATTTTGTTATTTTTTTTTCTCTTACTTCACATTTTCTTCTTAGTTTTGGGAAGTAACACTATTACCATTTTATCTCCAAAGTACGATTTTTTCAAATTTCTTTCGGCTTTGTCTATTCCCTTTTTTTTATTAATATTATTTTCATCAATTAATGCATCAAAATTTTTTAATAAAAAAAAATAGCAATAACTTTTATCATATATTTGTTAACTCAACACCCCTGTAGTACACGAGTATTGTACAAGTGTAGTTAGAATTATGAAGATGAGGATTCTTGCACTAATAATGTACTATAAAATTTGTAACTCCAATGTCCTTATTTTCTACAATGTCTTGCGGGAAATTGATAATCTCTTTTGGTGATAGTGTAATCTCACTTTTAGCCATGTATAATTAACTTTATTTCGTGTTATTTTACAAATTTAATTTTTAAAAATGTTGTTTTTCCAGAGACTAGTACGTACCTTGTGCGATGCACGGGCTAAATATATTAAATGAGTCATTTTCACAGTCTTGTCCGTTTAAGTCTAAAAATAATAAGGTTATTATCTATTTTCTACCTCTTTTAATCAACGTTAAGTCTAAAAAATAATAGGGTTATAAGTTTTTTTCCACATTTTTTAACCAGCATTGTATTTTTAGCCAGAACATTAAATGAGTATTTTAGGGTTAGCTTGTTAAATAATTAATATATTATATCACTAAAACATTTATACTAATAAAAAATTAATTTTAGCATATAAATTTATCCCTTGATATAATAGAAAGTAACAGTTTTACTTATTCTTGTTCACCATATAATATTTAAATATTATTTTAATATATAATAAAAAAATATTGTTAAATAGAATTGTTATAAAATTATATGAATTATTTTATAATTCATATAAAAAGAATATTATTAAATAGAATTTTATAATTCATATAAAATTATATAAATTATTTTATAATTCATATAAAATTATATGATAAAAAGAATTGTTATAAAACTATATGAATTATTTTTTTACAGTATGGATTTAATATCTTTTTATGATTTGATAATATAACTATAATATATTCTTAATGATATAATAATATGAGATACAAATTTACATAATACTATGAATTTATTCCTTAATGTTAAGATATTGAATTAGGTAATATATGATTCCCTACTTTATAATTTGTCTCTTTTTATATTGAAAATAATCATGTGATTGAGTAGAGATAACAATTATCTATAAATTCCTCATTTAAGGAATAATTTTTAAATTGATCCAAGTGTTGAATGCAACCCGATTTTATTGTAAATAAAATGAGAAGAGATTTTGAATTTCAAATTTTTACTTCAAAACTATATGTAAATTTGGATGTAGATTTTATTAAAAATGAATTCAATAAAACCCATAATTTTAGGAGCATTTAATGCTATCTTATTTTGTGATTTAAATAATTTAAAAAACTTTCTAAATAGGATGTGGAATTAATTATTAGTTAGACCTTTCTTTCTACTAATTCTAGTAAATGAGATAACTGAATTAGTAAATGAGATAACTTTTTATATAAGTATAGATTAATCTAGTATGGGTGCTATATGACGATTTATATACGATGGGAAATTATAATAGTATAATCCCTCCCTATATATTAATTCAAATTACGTTGAGCCTAAATGGTAGTTTCTCACGCTTCGGATGCTGATATGACGAAAATTCATACTTTGTAATATTTTTTATATATTCATTTTTGCTATGGAGTTAGACTTGGTATTAGACATAAATTACTTTTTTCAAACTTGGTAAGTGTATATTTAATTTTGTTATTTTTTTTTCTCTTACTACATATTTTGTTCTTAGTTTTGGGAAGTAACAATCTTACCATTTTATCTCCTATAGTACGCTTTTTTCAAATTACATTCGGCTTTGTCTATTTTGCTTTTTTTTTATTATTATTATTTTCATCAATTAATGCATCAAAATTTTTAAATAAAAAAATTA